AGGGTGATACACAGAAGTTTTCCCCCCTGACTTAAAGTTGAACCCTAACCTTTTCACGAATCAGCTGTCTCAGTACTAGGTACCTGTCATAACCTTTGGTGTTGTGAGCGATAAAAGTACATCCTTTAAACTTATGATTTATCAATTTCTTTACAAACTGCTCCAGGCATCTAACATCATAACAAACCCACCTCACAACATCTTTATCATACCCAACCTTCAACATATCCTTGGCGCAGGTATAATTAGGTATATGGGTGCTTGTTTGTTGACAGCATTCAAAATCATAAATGATGTATCTTTCTCCAATTCACGGTCGGTCCAACGATTTTAGAAAGCGTAAATGCCCTTCCAAGCTTTCAAACTTCTCAGAGCACTGTCCGCACTTGACTTCCTTGTACTTTTTGTGGGGGGTAAAGACGTAAACCCCACATATTTCGCAATATTCTTTATTCTTACAGTCAACTTTTCCCTCCATAGCGAGTTGTGTGTGTCTTTCAACACATTCCTTAGACCGACAAAACACTTTGCACCTACAGCAGCATGGCTTCTCCTCCTCCACCTGCTGACATTCTTGCTTGAGGCATGCTCTGCAGATATATTGACAGCCATGACTAAATTTGTGGTGGTAGGGCATGTGGCAGAATTTACAGAAATAGCATTCACTCAGGAAGCCCTTGATATTTTTGATGCCATAGTAATGCTTGTTGTGTAACAATATAAACACTATTTGTTCTTGCTGTGGACGACCTGTGACAAAAAACCTTCACCCATCCTGCATATAAAACAAGATCTTTATAGTGACCCTTAAATCTTCTTCAAAGATGTGTATCTGAGAAAAGTCAATCCTGTTTTCTGTGGAAACACCTAGTCTCCTGTGCTGTGAAGTTCCCTGGCCCTGGCAATAATTTCTTGATTTCTAACATCCACACAAATCAGACAGAGAAAACAGCTAACAAAACACAGAAATTCACCTTCCACATTGAAATCTACTAGGTTTGCCTTACTGCAAACATGGTTAAAAATTAAAAGAAAACATTATAATAAAATTCCAATTTGGCTATCGACTATGGAAGCACTAGTCTATCCAAATGTACTAGATATAAATAAAATAATAAGCTATGAAGATTTATTGGACAACCAGGAAAAATTAAAAACAAGAATAAATTAAAAACAAGACAAGAATTTAAAAAATCAGGGAATAGATATAGACTGGTGGCCATATATACAGATACAGACTAGGTATAAGAAGGACCTAGAAACAGATGGATTTTACAAAGAACCACACGAACTAGACAAAATTTTACAGGGGACTGAAGAAAAACTGATCAAAAAAATATGCCATTATTTATTACAATTCAAAATGGAAGAAGAAGTAGTGAAAGAGACCATGATAACGTGGGCAACAAACTTTGGATACAGCATAGAATTAGCAAAATGGGAAAGTCTCTGGGAAATAAATTACAAGCTAACAATGCCAACGGCATACAGGGAAAATTTGTACAAAATGTTCTACAGATGGCACTTACCACCAGCAAGAATAGCAAAAATGTTTCCGGAATGTTCACCTCAGTGCTGGAAATATAGCCAGGCACATGGAACTTTTTATCATATGTGGTGGACGTGTATAACAGCAAAAAAATATTGGATAAAAATAAAAAACTGGCTGGAAGAGATAATTACACAACCAATAGAATTAAAACTGGAATTATTTTTATTAGGAATAATTACAGGGAACTAAGAAAAAATCAAATACCTAATACTACATGTAATAACGGCAGCAAGAATCATATACGCACAAAACTGGAAAAACAAAAATACACCAACAGAAGAAAACGTGATTAAAAAAAGTCCTAGAATGCACCGAAATGGACAGACTCACAAAGGAAATAAAAGACAAAGAAGAATCCAAGTACTATTCAGTATGGAATTTATGGTATAAATGGCTAGAGGAAAGATGCAAAGAATAAGAAAGTAATAAAGGGAGGAAAAAAGATTAAGAAATCAGAAAATAATCATAAAACTGCAGAATTAACAAGAGGGGAAAAATGTAAGATAGATTGTATATAAAATAGTACAGAATAGAGAAATATAAGAGAAAAATATGTACATAGAAGGATATAAGATGTATTGTATAGAAATAAGTACATGGAAAGAGCAACGTGAATAGAAGAATAACAGGAGTAGATGAAAAATATGTAAAAATGGACAGACAGACAAACAAGGTATTTATGTATGGATAAAAGGAGTACAATGGATATTTAACAATGTAGATGTCAGGCCTGCATTTATATTCCTTTTAGAATTTTGGCCTGCCACACTTTCTCTTATTTCATTATGCTGTTTCATTAGTATAGTCGATGGGAGGGGAGAATACACAGGAGTGAGATTGTGGAATGTATTGCTTTTCATTCTTTACTAGAAGCCAAGGTCATCCTTTGTCTCCGCACCAATACACCTGACTGGAAGAAGTTGGGTGTGAATGCCAGCGTGGAAGAAGAAGATTGGACCATGTGATGGATTGTGGGTGTGGGGACAAGATCATGAACTTTTAACTGGGTGGAATTCTGATGTCATTTCCAGTATTGGGATTAACACAGATGTGCCTAAGATGTCTGTCTTATTAAATTGGAACAAAAATGATAGTTTTGCCTTGGACTCTGATTTAATTCTGCATGATACTTGGAACGCTGACAGTAGAAATGTTGTAAAGATTATATTTATGTTTAAATAAAATAAAATAAAAATGAAATTTACTAGGTACTTGGGTGAGCAGCACAGTGTTCAACTTCCTAAGCCCTCCCCCCTCCTTGTTCTTCACGATGGTAACCACTAATCTTAAATCCCCCCGCCCTCCAATATCTCTGCCTTACTTTGAAGCAGATTTTCAACATTGGTCAGAAAATCATCAGCATTTAAATCATTCACACTCCTCCTAAGAGAAAAGAGGATAATTTAACTCCTCTGCATCCAACTGGAGTTGAACAAAATCGATTGGGCCTATGTTCCTAGCAACATTATTCAAAAGAGTCTGTAACGCATTATGAATAGCCTCTATAGCATCTACAAAAGACTGGATTCGGTCAAGATTAACAAATCTATATTGATGATAGTATTCCACAGCTCTGAAATTTCAGATAGGCTTCTCCCATGCCTGCACCATATCCAGATAAACATCGTTCATATTCTGAGAGCTTGCAGAGTTAGGGGATTGTAGCTGGGGCATAGAATGACACATGTCCTTTTCTGGGTGAGATACAGGCATAGAATCACAACTAACACTGTCTGCTGGGGATGCGGGAAGTCCACCGCCATGCATTTTTGCTTTTTTGCAGGCCGGCTCTGGTTAAACGAACAAACAAACAAAAGGTTATCACAAACATTCCTAATAATGTAATATCAACACCCCTTTTAGTTTCTAAAAAATAATACTAATGGTTTTGTAGTTGGATAAAATGCTAGATATTATACCTGCTAACATCATTTGTGTTGTGTGGCTTATGGAAGGCTGAGGGATCATGTCATGCTGGAGCCCCTGGTGCTCTGTGGGAATAATGAGATCCACGAATGGCTGATCGTCCTCCCATTCTGAAGGAAAAGAAAAACCCCAATGGACAGAATTGTTTCAGAAATGTTTATAAAAATATAAATGTATGGAAGTATGAAAGACAAATACCTTCATATACCCTCAAACATTCTGAGTCTGTCAATTCATTCTAGTGAAAGAAAACAAACAGTCAGACAAACAAACAAGCAGGCAAGAATGTTATAAACACATTTTACATCTAAGAGGGGTCAGTGTCTCAAAAATTAGCCATAAAACTACTTACAATTGTAGCTCTCCTCAAACATTCTGAGTCTGTTAATTCATTCTAGTGAAAGAAAACAAAGAATCAAACAAGCAAGCAAGCAGACATGAACGTTATAAAACCCATTTTGCATCTAAGTGTTTCAAAATTAGGCATAAAACTACTTACAGTAGTAGCTTCCATTCTGAATAGGGGTCTTCTTAACAGATCAAATGGCTCCGGAGGTATGGCTATGCCAGAAACCAGCAAACATGACTGGACATGTATGGACCCTACTTTTATACATTCTGGTGATGTCACAAATTAATCACATTAGAGTTGGTGAGTTCTTCACACCTTTTGCAAACACTGGCCAGCCCCACCCTCATCAGAAAACCTTGAATGAATAATATCACATGAGCTTTGATTAAATTGTATCTCTGTGTTTAACATCTGACAAGGTTAAACAGGAGGGTCAGCAAAAGAAAAAAAAAACATAAGACATCTTTCATGTGATTTGTAAAGCACATTTTATTATAAATTTCATAACGTTAACAGTTTCTTGTAATTAATTTCTGTTACATTCTGGCATATGAACCTCTTCAGAGACAATGGCAATTCAGCTTCAATCTTTGACATTAATGACAGTGGTTTACGGTTCTTCTCAATAAGCTGTATGAATGTCTTGAGCTCACCAAGGGAAGCCCAGGTGAAATATAATTTATTCACTTTGTCAGAAATACTGATGATGATCCAGAGAACATGCAGCATAGAAAGTCTAAAACATAAGCTGTTAATAAGCTCTGTTTCACTGGTACCATCCACATGG